ATATAGCAAAAAAACTTCAGTTGTCAACATAATTAGTACTAAACTGTCATAAACTTATCCCCTCTTACTCACTACTAAGTGAGAATCATTAGAATCTCATTAGTTATCAAGTTGAACATAATGAACATAAAAGTTTAATGCATGAACACTTTATTCGATACTATGAATCTAATAGTAGTTTAAAGAGATGCTACTTCCTTTCCGGCCTCTTCGTACTTCTTGGCGAGGTCTTGTGGGCATGTATGCATGTATCCCTTATTAGCAGCACAAATCTCCTTCATGCGAGTGTAAGGATCGTAGCTCCTGAAATAATTTTCCAAGTATTCACGCATAAATAATAAATAGTTACTTGAAGTACTGTTCGTATTTCTCATGGCGGGGCTGAGTATAAGCGAAGAACCAAACAAGAGTTCCTCCGACAGCAGCAGCAAAAGAAATTCCCATGGCCTACAAATCGATTATCAATAAATTATAAATAAAACACCATACCTTACGACCGTATGAGTGAAGCATTCCACGCATGGCTGCTGGAGGAGACATTCTGAATATAAAAGATAAACAAAATAAGAAAAACAAAACAACATTGAACAATATAAGTACACAATTATAACTGTCATAGAATATTTAACACGAATATTTTATCAACAATTTTATTGATAAACAAAATAGGAGAGTACTTTATGACTTCCAAATCTTCGATTTGGTTAAAGTTCTCTCATAAAAATTAGAACTAATTTACGTTAAAACTATATACAACGATGAATAATACGTTCAAGTTTATTCTCGTTTGCTGAAAAATATTATCACAGTGTACGTAACAAACCGCCCATACCCTGATTCAAGAATTGTGGAGGGAAGTTTAAATTTATTGCGTTGTATCAGTGGATGCTCACAGCAACTTCACAATAAAAATATCGAAAGAAAGGTAAAAAATCATCGAACTGCCTTTGTGGTCAAGCCCGACTTCTTGCTGAACACTCAATTCTTTCTTAGCGTCTTATGTTTTTGATATTAACAATTCATCAATCAGGATCCATCATCAATAACTATGCAAAAACTTTAGTATGCTGAAGTGGGTCGACTAATATAGTATACGGTTAAGGAAAATCCAAGGTTCAAGGTAGTACCAGTATTGCATAACCTCTTCTGACATCAGTGTCAATCCTCTGGATTTGGGAGTTGCAGGAATGAATTTGCACTTCTTTGAGTAGCATTCAATGCAAAATCCTTTCAAAATTTTTCTCTTACCTTTAAAACAGTATATTTCTGTATTCAATATTTTATTCATTTAAACAAAAAAGAGAAAATGATGAAGATAAAATGAGACAATCATTATTAGTAAGAAATCACTATCACAAGTGTCTGTTTCTGATGTTCGCATTTGCTCTAATATTTCCATTGTTGCTTTAGTGACTCAGTATTTTATATGAATTTTTTCAGCATGGACTTGCAAGATGATCCACGTGTTGAGCGACTGCCGGTGAAAGCGACAATCGAGAATCCATTGACACGCTACCTCAAATGGATATATGGAGAAGATCAGATCCGAAGAATGGAAAACACTGTAAAGAACATCCTTGTGAAATATGAAGGTAGAGAAAAGCTATTCGAAGTCGGTTTAAATTAATTAATATATTATGTCACAAAACATTTCAGAATGTTCTACTAAATGAAGAAGACGAAAAAAAGCCGCTTCTCGATGAATGCTTGAATGCTTTTTGTGAAGTTAGGGGTGTTTTGCTGTTGCACTATCCAGCGATATAAGGCTCCGTTTTTCAATTTTTGAAGGGTAAGTGTAAAAATTTGGTTCATTTTTGTTTTCTTCTAGATGCCACTTATCGTTTTATATAAACCGTTACAACGCAACTTTTATTTGAACGCAACATATTCCCGACAGAGTTATGAAGATGAACCTTTAAAAATGGAAGATTATATGAAAACGTTAGCTCATTATATTCTATATTTAATTAGTTAAGTACAATCACAAAAAATATTGCACCAGATTAAAAATAGAGAGTTTACAGGAAAAAATGCTTTGTACAAGTGTACAATTTATATTCCCAGAAGATTTTCTCAAAAAAGTTTGGTAATCGACAAACACTATTCTATAGAATAAAAGATCTGACTCCTTAAAGCAAAAAGCTAGAAATCTTGAATACTTTCCGAAAATTCAATCGAGAACGGAGTGAGGGGGAGAGTTTGAATTATATGGTAATTCAGCAGATCCAGTGTTTTTTCTATAAACGAACACTTGCCCCAGGATTAAGATATCAATTGTAATCTGTAAAAACGCGCAATGAGTTCAAACATGATATTCTCTACGACTCACTTGCAATATAGCACACACCCAGAACTGCTTTGGACTATCAGTGGCGACAAAGTAACCAGTCTTGGCTAAATCTCCACAGAGCCAAGCAAGCACCATAGGAATACTGCAATAAAATTGTGAGCTGTCTGTATAAGAGCAGATTCTAACCTCATTCCAGTAGTCGACTTTCTCTTGAAGTTTCTAATCAATTGAGGAGCTCCGAGAGTAGCCTCAACTAGCAATGACACCATTCCGAGAGCCTCTACATACCAAGTGAACTGGAAAACTTATGATTTTTCTTGTTGGTACTAATGAAACTTACATTAATAAATATAGCTGTAATCACAGACCAAAATGCTGTGAAAGCTGCCAGAGCAATCATGAAAGAAAGCAGATTGTGCCATGCCCAGAACGCGGATATAAATTGTCCTTCTGAAATGAGAAAGGTTAAAAATAACTACAAGTAATTTAAAAATAAAACTTTGTTCTCATGATGTTCTTCTACATAATTCGCCTACTTATATTCTCCCTAATAGTAAAATCTCTACACACGCGAATTTTGCAAAACCACGCGGAAGCGTCATACATTCTGAATTTTTAAGAACATTCTTGAAGATTAGCCACAGCTGTAAACTCAAATCTCGTAAATGACGAGTAAGCAGAGCTTATGTTCGAATCGAACAAATTTCTATCAGAACACAAGTCAATTTTGAGTCTTTTCAAGCTTTCACAAATAATTATAATTTGTTTTCGAAACATGTGAATCTAATTTTCAATAACAATTGATCACTTGATGCCAATGAACGAATGTATGACTCTAATACGTACACTTGTTCAACATGAACCAGATATCTGCTTGAAAAAGATTACGAGCTTCTCTCCAATTTTATAAGCTCTCATTCATAGAATGTGCGAAAACAGCACTAATGTGAAATGATATCAGGAGAACAATCCAATTACTCCTTTTCACTGAAAGAGAACACAAATCATTCCACCGATGTTTCAAATAAAAAAATTGTGACGTAAAAAGGAAAGCCTTAACGCTTCCCTCTATACACACGAAAATGAGAAGCAATTAGGGAAGTCTACCCCAAGAATATGTAAGTCTCGGAACTCGAAGAACAGACTTGCTGAACATTGATTACACTTACTCATCGTTCTCCTACTCAGCTCCTCCTAGTAATAGCACATGACTTGCCTTGAGCTAACACCTCCATATAACCCGGACAATACATTAACACTGTGTCTTCATTGACTTTTTGCATATTCCTCTAGCTGAAGTATCCCTCTCTTCCATATGTTGGAGAAGAAGTTGGAAACTAACGTCATACAGCTTTACTCTTTAGGCTTATACTTTAGATGCTCAGATTCTTTCTTCTTCTCAACGTCTTTTACTCTGTCTCTCCATCCGCATGAGCAAAACCCCGCCCTCCTCCGTCCGTCGTATCTGCACACTGAGCAGAATTCTCAACTCAGAAGTCTCAGTTTTTCCTGAGCGAATTAATGTTTCGTTTCATGAAAGATTACAAATTTCTATTCTTGCCTTCCACGATAGTTCCAATCAAACCTTGTTCATTCACAAAATTGCATGCTAAGTAGGCCATTCGATAAGTAACAAAGCGCATCATCACCTTCTTGCCTCACTATTTTGGACATTTTCTAATAAGTAAATTCTGAGCGAAAGCCCATTTTCCTTTCTGAACAAACACATGATTTACAGTTGATTCTAGTAATTTTCCCATATACATATATATTTTCTCTCAACTCCTTCTCTCAATCTAAAAAATATCACGAAAGAAATAATTTTTCTTATAGTATCTGGAGCCCGGCCACAGTTCTACTGGGCCCATGACAGGCTTCTCTACGACTAATGCTCCAACCACTTTACCAGAAACAGCAAACATAAATATCTCAGAAGCTTGTCAGGATCAGGTAATAAATTCTCGAAAAACAAACGAATTTATCACCACAGCATCTATAGTTCCGACTTTTGGCCCAAGATGCCCCTCAGGGGGAAATGCTACCAGCAAGTTTGCTCATAACATTTTGCATTCCTGCCGTTATTATAATTCTGCTAACTATATTCGGAAATCTGCTGGTGTTATTCTTCAAGGTTTGTTAATCAATTTGAAGAATTCAATTATCACACTCATCTATTCCTCTCATGAAGCATGAGAATCAGCATATTTCAGGCAAAAGTTGGTCGCACAAACACTACTCTTCTTGTCTGGAATCTAGGATTGACAGATTTCCTCGTCGGAGTTATAGTTCTGCCCCTAGGTGCTTTTCATCTTATCTACCGAAAATGGATTTTCGGAAGATTTCTTTGCCGACTGTGGGTAGCAGCAGATGTCACGTTTTGCACTTGTTCAGTGGTTAGTCTTAAACAAACGAGGGTCCCGGAAATAAAATTAAAATAAAAGCCCAAACTCTCTCCTTATACTTTCTCTTTTTCAACCCGGTAATTCTGTTCAAACCTCGGCTTCCCTCTCCCCACCTACATGCCATGCGTTCACACCACAAATTCCATATATGCATCTCCTTCATAGTTTTCTCCTCTCTTCCATCGCGAGGCTCTCTTCAGATGCCTCTAATCTCTGTCTGTCTCAAGTTTTCCTTCCTTCATCTCAGAGCATTTGTTCAGCGCGTAAATTTTTAGAATTTGAATTTCGAGCTCGTCTTCTTCGTCGCTTTTCATCTCAGAATTAGATTGCAACGTTCTGGCAATTGAAATGGGAAGAGGGGGAAGCAGGCTGCCCTCGTTGATTCACCGAAGCCAGAGTTCGAAGTACATGCATTTGCTTTTTCGAGACATTTAACATATTAAAAAAGAGGTCACCCAGCTCTTTATCCAGAAAAGAGACGAGACGCCCATAGACTCTCAAAGGCCAAAACACAATTACCCATGCATGTGTGACCGAGAGGTTGAGAAATAACAAAAGGAGAACAAATTTTGAAGAAGAAACATTTGAAAAAGCTGGAAGGATTAGCATTCACGACTAAAAAGATTTGTTCTTCTGCTGATCTCTCTCTCTCAACTTTCAAAAGTCAAAGAGATATTATTATACTTCCAGCAGGTGTAAAAACAACGCTAGAACGAATTGATGTGAATCGAAAGATAAATGAAATGTTTTTCTCTTTTTTCAGGTAACTATCTGTGTTATATCCGTGGACAGATACTTGGCTGTTACGAGGCCTCTCAGATATAAATCAGTGGTGACGAAGACGAAAGTCATCATGGTCATGCTCACCATATGGTTTTTCTCATCCTCAGTACTATTGACCACTGTCAAATGGGAACAATCTCCTTGCTATGATGATGTAAAACATCTCTCAGTTACAAATTATTACCACATTTCCAGAATATCTGCTTTGTTGGTAATGAAATCAGATATTTGGCTCACAGTGTCATCTTCGCTTTCTTCTTACCAGCCTTGGTCACATTAACATTATACTGGAGAATATATAAGCTGGCAAGAAACAGACAACGAGCTCTTGACAGAGGTTTCCTCATGATTCTTGGTCAGAATATGAATTTTCTGACGAACACAATCAGTCAACAGGTTCCTACCTCCCACACCTCTCAACCAAAATTTCCATGTTCAGACAACTCTGCGAGTTCACTTTGGTAGAAATAACGGAATGGTTGAACATCAGAGACGCGTGTTGCGAACTCATGAAAGAATCGCCAAAACTCTTGGAGTTGTCTCCTGCTCTTTCCTTTTCTGTTGGCTTCCCTTTTTCAGTTTGTACTTGACAAGTAAGCCTTTTGAAACAATTTATTACATGGCCCGACCCTATTTCACCGAGAATATTCCTTATATAAGCACTTCAAAGAAAGATTTCTGATATTTCATGAAGTAACCCTCAAAAATCTATTATATGATTACGGAACAGAGGCCCGTGTGACGCGAAAGAATCTTGCCCAGGACTCTATTGATCTCCACTCCAAGACGTGCATTTCAGATTACAAGTGCGAGGGATGCATCTCACCAATTGCCTTAGACATCGCTAGTTGGTTAGGTACGTAAACCCGAGAGCAGAGAAAACGGAATTTTAACAATAATTAAGGGTATTGCAACTCGATGCTGAATCCAATTATATACTCCTTCACTGTCAAAGAGTTTAAACGCTCGGCTCTCAGGGCATCAGTGCCAATTTGGCAGTTTTTACACCGGCTTTTGCCATTTGCTATAGGAGCACCACCAGACAGAGTTATGCAAAGAATGTCCAGAAGCGGTAACAGGTTCGACCAGTTTTTTATGCTAACTTGACCAAATCATCTCACTTTTTAGAATTCGAAACAAGACGCGACACAGATCATTTGAAATTGGATCTAACAAAGTTGGGCTCATGAGTTCCAGGTCTTGTCAGAAGAGAAGACAAACGGAGCCCGCAGTGTTCGGTATACAGAAGAAGGTTATAGTAGAAAAAGTGCGTGTAACTAAACTCAAAATTTCAGCAGTGCGAAGAGAAAGAAGAAATTATAATCGAAGAAGATGAGGACGCAGTTCACGAGTACACGGAAACCAACGGTTTCGCATCCTCTCGCCGTCCTTCAGATCTAGCTCCTTTGCCTTTAAAGCCAATTGTGGAATTAGAAAATGCAACAAACGGATCAACCAAATGTGGCTCACGAAGCAACTCAACAACAGGAAAGGAAGATTCAATGTGCTCAGTGAGAGTTTACTGTGAAACTCCTGAAGCCGATCTCTGATTTGTACAAAGCAGTTTTTCATAACGATTCCATTTCAATTCTGTTCGGGTTTTCATGCAATTCACAGGTAAATCGATGTAAAGTTCTCAATAAAGTTTTCTGCTCATAAACCTCTCGAATAAACCTTTTCCCAATGCTCACCCATGCGTACCGATAGAGACGCGGAATTCAACCATTAATAAGAAAGGAAAAAGTTTAATTTTTCCACCAAAATCTTGAGTTTAATACATGGACATCAAGCTGATTTGAGGTCCAGAGTATTCGAAACTAATGAGTTGGATGGATGGTTCACACGCTCTCAGCGAATGCGATCTGAATAATGCAGGCGATTTAAAATCACGCGCAAAGTGAATAGTTGAGAGATGGAAACCATAGGAAATAGCTTTATCTGAGAAAGAATATTCAAAAAGTTCCTTCTTTCCAAACCCTGTTACCTGGTCAAGTGGACTATAGTGCATACGTCACTTCATAGCCAACCCTGACTACAAATTCTTACAAACTTGAGTTAGTCAACAAAAAAGAGTTGTTGCTTCTACAATCACTCACACGCAGTCCCAAAAAACAAAAACGAACTTAATATGGATTTCCACTGGGGCTTCGGCGTATGCTTCCTATTCATCCGGACAGCGATTTCCAACATGAAAATCATGCAGATAAGCATAACAATACTCTGGGCCAGCAGAGCGGTATCGAAACGTTTTCCAATCCTACATAGAAAATTAAGTCCGTAATGATACTATGACACTAACCAGAAAAGAATTCTCAGAATATTTGCAACACAAAGAGCGAGACATACGAACAGACTGAATCCTTGTGCATTCCGTCTATGATAGATCTCCGAGTATTGGAATACGTACGGAATAGAACCACCAACTGTAAAAGTAAATAATCATCGTGATACAGGAAAAAACATAGTTTGGGTTTCTTGGGTTAGTATTTTTCTATTCAGCGAGTAACCTACGAATTATAAAGACCTGTGCAAGAAACAAAATCATCCTCTGGACAATCTTTGATGAAGGCGCTATCGATTGATTATAAGTGTGTGGTAAATCGACAACGATCTAGCGGCACGTAGAATTTGAACGCGAGCGACTTATGTATTGTCTTTACCGTAAAAGGAAATTGTTTCGAAATAGAGCGGTTATCACACATAGTAATGCTAAGTCATCACTTTGAACTCAAAATAGTAAATATTAATGTTAGTACTCACATATAACAAAAACATGTACAACAGGCAAGAGAAACATTAGTGTGAGCTAGTTAAACAGACAATTGATTGCCCATGACGAAGCTTTTCGAACAATTATTATGAAACGCAAAACATGATGCGATAGCGAATAAGGTCTTGTACTTTCGCAGAACTATTTCCAATGAAAAGAAAAACTTACCAATTATAAAAAATGTGAAGAACCACGAAGCTCCCTGTACAAAGGCATGGGCAACTTTGTCCCAAGGAACCAACGCTAACCCTGACGAATCCACAACCATCATTATGAAAGACTTGAACAAATCTAGAAAATACAGAAAAGAAATCAAAAAACAGAAAGTTTTCAATCAAACTCCAAATCAATTTGCAACGTACGACTATTTACTTTATATGACTCATACTGCCATTTAGGAGCAGGCAAGAAATCACCAGTTTTCGTTATCTAGAGCTATAAAATCCTAGGACTCACTTAAAAGATCAGCAGTCTTGTACAGAAGCCTCCACTAATTCATCACTTCGAACCTTACGAGAAGCTATAGGGGCTGTAACGAACAATTTGAAGAAGAAGAACAAAACGAATAAGTAAAAAGTCGAATCAACGACTGGTTTGATGATGAGAGAAAACTTGTAAAGCTTATTTAATTGCATGATTACGGGAATCATAAACTTAATATTTAGAGTTATTGTAACAAATCAAGAAAAGCATAAAAATACAATCAATCGCTCCTCCAGGTAAGAGAAGAGTACCCATTGAATTATAAAAAACCCGGTCATGTTATAGACTAAAAACACAATATTACAATTAGAATAATTATCGCAGAATTCTAAACGAAGACGTTCATGCAATTTAGATCACACACAAGGATAGGAAGAAACTTGAACGCTCAGGCTGACGGGCCTCGTGTTGGTCTGACAATCAACTTTCCATTCTATAAATATGGAGATATCAATCAAATTATACAAGTTACTCACATCATTACAACTCAAACTGAAGTAAGACAGAGCTTCGCGACATCGTCCAGCAATTCTTAAAAAGAATCATTTGATATGGCATGATAAGAACGAGTTCAGTTAATTAGAAAGTGAAAACAGAGTGAAACATGTTCGACATATGAATTTTAGTAAGTAAGAGGTATGTGAATCATAGCTGTGTGAAGGATCGTACGAGAACAAACAAATCGCAAAATTTTAGAAATTTAAAAGAGAAACTCACATAGAGGGCGCCACTACTCTTCTGTGAATCCCAAAGACCGAAAATAAAATAAATAATAATGGCACGCTGATAGTGAAAACTGGATGATTCTGTAATGATTCCCAAAGAGATACCTACAACGAAAATTGATTGATGAGAAAGAGATGATGAGAGACGAACCGTTCCGAGGCGGGGATCTGTTAGCCAACTATAGGAAGTTAAGACAGACGATAATGAGATGATAAGTAAAACGGCTACAAGAATAACTAATCTCAAGTAAGCGAAAGTATCTAAAGGATTACCTCTCCACCTTGTGCAAGCCGGTCCCATATTCGATATCACCTCAGTCAATCGTCGCTCAAAAAACCGTAGATCTAAGTAAAGTTAGTCAATATTTGTTGATACTTTTCTATACATACCTTCACAAGCAGCAGATGCATCATCATTTCGCATTTTATGGAATTCGACTGAAAGCATTATATTTTAAATTACAAAGCTATTGAAAAAAGGACTTCTAGGGGACGTCAACCCATATCGAAAGTTCAGAACAACAGTTAACAAGGATATAATTCATAAAATCAACAAAACAACTACAAAATAAAAACGATTACCTGTCCAAGAACAGAAAGTATTATAACAATAGTCGATTATTAACAAATGGTTAGAGGATTTCGTAAATCAAAACAACAAATTGTAACATGAAAAACAGATCAATCAAACTATTTATGTTTGATGTTTCACTTTTCTTTTCTTTTCTAACTTCTTACGCCACATGTTGTTCTTATTTGGGTTCTTCTTTCCGAATTCAATAACTCCTGATAGTCCCTTCTTAAAGATACACTTGCTAATACTTCAGTAACATCATATACTTACAGCTTTAGCCGCTTCTGCGATAGTTGGTGCGTCCTTTCTCTGTTTCTTCGCATGTTTCTTTCCTCCTCGTCTTGATTTTCTAGGTTCTTTTGGAGTATCCTTAACGAGTCAACTATGTCATTAATAGATACACAGATTACCTACCTTTATAGGTACAGTATCATCTTCATGCATAGCTTCGAAATCTTCTTCTAAATCAGAAACTCCAGACAGATCCGTTAATCCCGAACAAGTGGATCCAACATCTGTTAGCTCATCTTCTTCTTTAAGTTCCTCAGGCACTTCTTTCTCATCCTCGTCCAATTGCTCTTCATCATCACTGTTTCCTTTTTCACTGTTGGCATCATTAACAGGCTCATCATCATCAGCACAGAGTTCGTTTATTGGAGCCTGAAAAGAGAGTATACAAAATGAAAAAACAAGGTAAAGATACTTCGTTATAATCAGTTTTGGCTCTTTCTTCACACCCTGGAGGAGGGGAGAAGTATGGCAGTTTACCACGTTGGAAATCATTCAGAACTTGTTTAGCCACGGAGTTGATGTCAGGCTCACCACCCTATTTGATATAGATTAGGTTTCGTAATACTCATTTGAATTACCTTTAAGAGTCTTCCACTTCTCATAGCAATTTTGGTAAGGAAATCTTCCCAATCAGTAAAATCGGAGATGGTGTATGTTTTCTTCAAATGCTCCACTTTAACTCTATAATCATGCGTTCAAACGAAACAACGAAGAGTATTTACAAACCTATCCAAAACTCCTTGAATGTGATTCTCAGGATCTCTAACATTCTCAACTCGAACAACTCCTTTAAGAATAATGTCTGTCTCAGTATCTCCCTGAGGATAGACAACTCCGGGACAATCAATCATGTAAATCTTTCGCATAAGCATCACATATTGCCAAACCTAAAACAAAATGTAATTTTTGAGGATTAGCAGAAGAGAAAAACCTTCGTTTCTCCGGCAATTGGAGCTGTTTTGCAAACTTTCTTTTTTCTCAACGTATTAACAAGGGAAGATTTTCCAACATTGGGATAACCAATAAAGCCGACACTAATCTGAAATGCAGCTGAATCATGCATCGTTTGGCCATAATATATGGAAATCCTTAAGCTGTGTCGCCAACTAGAAATCATCCAACAAAAACTAGAGACAAAAACCAACAACGCTCTTGAATCGATCTTTTCAGAACTTCCCAATTAGAGCATAATAATATTAAAATACTGACAAGAAAAAAAATTCCCAGAGAAATAGGATAGAGCTAAAGCGGCTAATCAATAAGAGGCGACAAACATGGCTTTTGAATGAAATAGTAATTGAGAAATTCCCTAGAAGAAAACAAATGACCATTTAGTTTAGCTCAAAGAATTCCGGACTAAAACGTTAGATATCTGAAGAAAATATGCAAATGCATATGAGAGACGCAATAAAGCAAACAAAAAGTCAGTTTTCATCACTTTCTCTTGGATGTTCAAACATGCGGAGTAAGAAGAAGAGAATTCAATACCTGCTGTTTATCATTGTGGAGTTTAGCGAATTGTCGCAGAAGATTAATAACGGCTCCCTTTCCAAATGAATGCTGAATAGATGCATGGAAAGCTATGGTTGGCATTTCCTTGGACAAAATACTTATCCATTTACGCTGAAGAGTAGTCCATAATTAAAAAATGAAGAGGATTACTTACAGTGACCCAGGTGGGTACTAAATCAACTTTGTTGATAACAGTAACTAAATGTTTGTGTGGTCTTTCCTTGCGTAAAAATTCTTCAACATGACGACATCTTGTACCTTGTGGGTTACGAGCATCTATTACTTGTATGATGACGTCGGATGAATCGATAACCTGAATACAAGAATGAGTTCATTAATGTTGAATTTAAAACAACCTTATACAGCTCTCCCCAAACACGGTTACTTTGCCCAGCACGGAACAAAGGATTTTGGTTTTCAAAACGGTTAAGTTCAGCTCCGTCAGTTTCCAAAGCTCTATCTTTTGTTGCGTCATAGCCTCCAGCTGCATCTTCAGCAGTTTTAGCCAAATCCTAGAGAGAGATTTTGGAAATCTTACAATTGCTTTTGCATACCTCAAGGTTTTCGACTGATATTTTAGCCTTCTTTCTTAGAGACTTCTTACCGAATGTATATTCAAAGCTTTCAGTTTCGGTTATGTGCACACGTTGCTGCTAAAATTGAATATTCGCCAAAAAAAACAGAAAAGCAAACTAGCCTTAGCTTTCTCTTGTAATAGAGTGATTGGAAGAGCGGTTTGCTTCATAACAACCTGAAAAACAAAACATAAAACCAAATAAAGAAAAGTGAAACACCTGGAAAGGATCCTTGATCACTTTTCCCAAATTTTCTTGGAACTTTTGAAGTTGTTCTTGTCCAACAACTTTAGTATTACCTAAAATGTAAGTCTTCACTAACCACTGAACTGAACTTGTTCACTAACCAAACCACTTTCGATTTGGCTCTACTCTAGCTTGGGTTCCAGAATTCAACCATCCCTGGAATGGGGCAGCTTTCAAGATTTTTCCGTTTTTGTCCCTGAAAGAAACCAAGCAGTGAATAGTACAATGTTTCAAACGTACCTGATAGCTTTGAAACTTTTGTACATACGAAGACGATTTATAGTAGCTCTTGAACGTTTGCTGGTGTCCTTTGTTTCATTTGGTCGATCTATGATATTATTCAACTCAAAGCCCCAAAGTGAAAAACTTACTAGGGTTCATACTGTTATTGGAACCCCTGAACGTATGGCGATTTTTGACGGGCCCATAGTTCCTACCCATTTTAAGCTTATCACTTTTTTTTCCGACATTCCTCAGTTTAACCATTTTCTATTTTTATTACCTGAAAAAGTACATGGATGAATATGTGAAGAAATCAAGAAGCGAACAAAAAACAGAAAAAAAAACTTTTTCGAACTCAAAATAAAGTTGAAAAGTTTTTGTTATTCAATAGAATGAATGAACAACTTCAAAACTTTCTTTATGAAATAATTTAAAAGTGAAGAACAATTAATTGAATGCTAATATTGAAATTGAAAACCCAAAAAAAAGGAGAAAGCGTAGGTACGTGAAGGGTCGGTATGCAATTTCTCGCAGGTACGCAATAAAATAAAAAACGAGTATTTGGGGTCAGAAGTTTCATTATAAGCAATAAAGGGAAGTATTTTGTGTATATAAACCGTGTTATTGTAAATATGAAGCATAAATGGTATTGAATAAGAATATTTCTTTTTTTAAGTGCATTTTGTTATCTAGGGAAACTGAAATTCGTATTGATGCATACATGTTCTTCAGCATCAATAGTATAACACTGCATATCGATATAAAAATGGAGACTGGAAATCTTATAGCTTCACATCAGACAAAAATAAAGATTTCACAAATTTGAAAAAACAAAACGTTTTATTCTATTGGGAGACATCGTTTACATTATTTCATTATTTGGGAAATCGATGGTTCTTTCTAACTATAAAACATGATGGACTCTGCGATGACATTGGTGTGAGGGGTCAGATATTAGAATTTGAATTAAGTGCTATCTGGATGAGTGAAATACATACAAATGGCGAGAGAATCAGATAATGTTTCGCTTCACCTGACTTAGAACAATGGTGTCAAACGTATCTAAGAAACCGAATTGAATATGCTAATGTAATGTCCACGTGACTTACGTGGCATTGTAGCGCTCAAACGATTGATTTTGTGGTTTACTTCACATCCGGTTGCAAACGAGAAACTAAGCGTCGAATTGAAATATCTACACTATGAAATGTTTTTTTTCAATGTTTTTCAAAAGTATATAATGAAACTTCAGAAAAATAGCGGGACAAGGGCCATCAACAACCTAAAAAGATGTTCAAAGTGTTTTATAGAATGTTGCAGCTTCTGCCAGGAACTAGTTTAAATGACATTTTAAGTTAAGATATTACTTCTTAAAAATAGCTCTTGAAGCAGATAAACGACATTTTTCTTATCATCATAGTGGCTCGAGGAATGGAGTGAAACTACTACAAGTAAGATATTCGTTTCCTTTTCTATACTACCATCTAATGATGATTGTTTTTTTACAATTATTAGAAGCATGTGTATCATTAGTGTGGTTGAGGGGACGTAGAAAGCACAGCACGCTAACTTAATTTGAAGTTAATCACTTGAGTTTCATATTAAGCAGGTGTTTTTTTGGAAATAATAATATTAATATCAGTTATTGATTACATCTCCTCACATTATTTTTGCTTTATTAAAATTTCTCAATTTTTCTGTTTTGAACTAGATGAAGAGTCAGCTGGCCGTTGGTCTTCATTCAATACAACTCATAGGCTGCTCATTTGCTCTTAGGATGGGGGGCAGAACCATCTACTACGCCCTTTTGCTTGGTTTACTTTTTCTATCTGATTTATCTCTATTTTTCTTAAACTACTTGATTTGAAATTGCTATAAGAAAACAAATTGTCTTAATTAGTATTCCCTCATGACTGCCCCCCACTGTAGGACTTCAATAGAATCTTTTTTTCTGTATCATATCATCATAATGTGACAAAAGAAAAAAATCTTAACGATGCAATAGGTCATTGAAAGGGGCAAATACTCATATGAGCTATACCAGATGAAGCTGTGCTAAGTATTTGAACCCATCTGAAAGTGGCGTCAAAAAAATACTTGTGATGGCTTCAACCTATATCTTACCCAGCTTTTGACTCTAAATATTCCCGCTTGTTTTGTGGTAGTTGTTACGCAATAAAAATAACAATTCACTTCACATACTATAAATATAGTGCTCTTGATGAGGCAATTGCATATTCAAATTCTTATCTTTAGTGAATACCTCTTTATCCTCTATGGCGGATGGCGATTTTTGCATTTGCTGTGCCACTGATACTTTCATCAATTACATTGGATATTCAGCTAACAGCATTAAAGGTAATATAAGATCATATAATATATCATACAATATCCTTTCAGGGAAACATATTCACTTTACTTTCACCTGAAAGAAACATATCATTGAATGTCCAGGGACATATACTCTATGCAGACAACATACGTATATCTCCAGTCGACGTAAATCACTTTGTTTCAGACATATCTTACCATTATAGAAATTACAGATAAATAGCCGAATATCATTTTCGATAGAATGTTTGTCAGATGCCTCACTGCATTTTTCAACATCGGAAACAAACACCCTATTACATTCGCCCTCTATATGTGCCAAATCAACAGGTTTTCAAATTTATTGCAGTTTGTACAACAAAAAAAAACTTTGCACTTGCCAAGTTTATGTTTGAAGGATTATACTCTGAGTGTATAATAATCAATTTTCTTTTTGTCTCTTTAGCGTTTACCATAGAAAAACTAAACATTTCTATAGTCATTAAAGCATTGCAGGTATACAAATTGATGATGCTACTCTATATGGATGTGTTATCAACTTGTATCAAGGTGATCGTATGCTCGTTAGTAGACTATGCGGGTTAGTTAGTTTTATTTCCTTAAAAATATTAATACTTCTAAGAACTTTGCTTTCTAATTGTTTTATGCTTCATTTGGTCGTAAGTTAGCATACGCGCATTGATTCGAGTCCCTTTCCTTTATCTGTCTCGGAGCGTTATAAGAACTTAAAAAAAGAACTTAAAAGGAACATTTCATTTGTTTGTGAGTAGTACTTGCATTTGTTTGAGATTTCGTAATTATGAGCATCATCACTATTAATCTTAAAATATAATATATTACACATAATATGAAGTAGGATGGAATGGTTGGGTCAGTTATCGCTAAGTGGTGACAAGGATAAATTACGACACGAGCCTCCATCATCATTGTTTCATCATTAAGCTGGAACGCATTTCAAGCTTGTAGAAATAGAAAATGATGTAAGAGAAGTTAAGAGATGAACAGATTGGAGATTGATTAACAATGGCTTTAATAACCATTTGTTCATTTATTATTTGAATTTCAATTTGTACATCTGCCAATAGGGAATGAGGAGGATGAGGATGACTGACTGTTTGTAGAAAGATGATCGTAAATCTATAGGAAAAAGTTTTTTTCTCTTCATCTTCTTCTTTCGAAAAGTACTATCGGCACCTGCATCTCATTAGGAAGCGATGACAATATGGTTCCAATATCAAAGAGCCCGATAAATGAAATGTCAAAGCTTTTATTAGAATATGTGAGCAGTTTTATCTTTTTTATATGTTGTAGCTTGTATCATCTGAGCCATATGTATTCTCTGTGTGAGTACTAAGCTTGAAAATGAGTTAATCTGTTCCAACTGTGTCATATGTTATAACACTTTAACATGATGTTGAACATTTAGAATCAGAGAATATGTCAAAAACTGATAAGACTCATCGTTTTCTTGTTTCCTACTTATGTCTGAAGTTGGCTGTCTTGGTGACACATAGCAGAAAAGATGTTGATAGAGAGAGTTAGCTGAGGGATATAAATTACAACAAAGCTTTGAAGCTTCCCTATCCGAATGGACTTGGAAGATAGATTGAGTGAAGGGATAAATGTGAACTAGTTTTTCATTTGACCAGTTGTCTGCACTCTCTTCCCATAAGAACATTTCAAAGAGACCTATGAGAGGTAGTTGATAATCACAGAAACATGACAATTAGATATATGAGATAGACATAAATTATACAATCATATCATTTAAGAAACGGTCTCGATGAAGGAAAATCGACATCTCCTCCTGGAGTTCTTCAACCTATATATGTAGCAGAGCCCTTAGAAGTACGTATTTTAGAACTGCCTTTCAAATATCTGTGTTATCTAGGTTAATGAAGGAGGTTCTATGCCTCTCCAATGGAAAAACGTTTATGTTCTTCCAGAACATTCGAGACTGAACTTGTCAAACTCTGATATTGTTTTCTCTGTTAGTTTCAAGCATATTTCCAGAAATTATGTTCGTTTAAGGTTATTGAAGGCCCACAACATGGTCAACTTCTTCTGGATGGACAGCCTGTTAGTAGCTTTACGTATGCTCATGTATTAGCGAGAGCTGTTATTTATAAGCACGATGACAGCGAAACCACTCATGATTCCTTCGATTTTCAAGTCAGTTTCTTTTTCTTTCTGAAGCAGAGGAGATTGTATTAGATCAAGTGAAAGAAAGCTATTTATATGCGCTGAAGCTAGAGAGAGAACAATAAATCAACATTTCTCTTACCTCAGTCGATGCACTGATTTATTTAATTGGTTCAGCCACAATAGAATCATCATTCAGCCACAAAGATAGCGCTCAACAGTGTGGCCAGGTGTTTATTTTAAAGTTTTAAGCTTTTTTTTTACTTTTCCAAGCTAGTGTTAGGATGCTTTGCAGTGGAGGTGTGAAGCTGTGAAAATTCGTAGAAAGGGTTGACTTCAGTTGAGAACAAACGGAAATCGTTTTTTTTGTAAAACTGATGTGATTGACCTTAATCTTTTTCCAATGGATATATAATACTATAATACTGCTGGGAGTCATGTTTCACATTTCGAATAGTTCGAGTTGAGGGGAAATTAGGATGATATGCTAATGAGACACCGGTCCCTATGATTTTCAAATTGTGTAAGAACGCATCTAAAGCAATCTGTTATTTCATGAATCTGAGAAAACTGTTGAATACACTGTTCTCTTTACAGATCGAAATCAATAGCAAAACCCTCAACTTTCCTTGGCTTGAAACAACTACTTATACTTTGAAAGTGCGAATCAATGCAGTGAACGATGCGCCTTCTCTCACAGAAGCTTCAGGTGCTCAAGTAATAAAAATTTCTGCCAAGGGAACGTATGTTTTTTCTCAGAATTTTTCGGAACATCTTTCTTTTTAGACGATTTCTGACTTCAGACTTGATACTTCTTTCCGATCAAGATGATGGTCCGGATAAGGTACTTACTCGAAAAATATTTAAAACTAATTCTTCTTTAAGGTTCGAGTTCAAGTTGTAGAAGTAAGAGGAGTTCATCTGGCTATAAACGAACAAGTAGTCAACGAGTTCACTCAAAGGCAACTTATCAATCGCCAAGTACCCAAACGCTACATTGATTTTATTTAATTTTTATTAAGGTTCAACTAGTGGATGAAGGAATATACGAGAAAGGGCTGTTACGACTGGTAGCTAGAGATAGTGATTCTCGCTCACAGGTACTCTTTGAAAATAATCAGTAGCTTATTGTTCAGTGTAGGTTCTTGCTCTCCACACTATATCCACGCCAATTGAAGTTCTTCTGAAAAGTAATACTGGAATTTGGCTGCTACACCATTCTTCCGCAGTTATAACAAAGCAGTAAGTCATAGCTTGATAGAACCGATCGTATAACAGTACGGTTTTAAGAAATCTGTCGTTCTCTGTATCTGTTCCTGATTTGGCTATTCATTATTCGTTAGTTGACTTGCCTGATCATGGTTTACTTGAATGCTCACCAGATGAAGGGCATTTCTATGTCTGCAGTCGCTTTAGTCAAAGCCAGGTAAAATATTTTCTAGCTGTTCACTAAATTTCAAGAATTATTAGATTGATAAAGGATTAGTTCGCTTTCGGCATACAAGCAATCAGAATCCTACTCATGATACGTTCAGCTTTCAAGTAATAATCTACCCATTACATTTGCAAAGTATTCTGTCTTAGGTTGAATCTGGAGAACATGTGTCCATGATTCACAACTTCCGAATTACATTCGTTCCAATGAATGTGAAGGTAAGCATTGTGCTCTTGATCTGATCTTACGATTCTGTTAAGATATTCAACAGAGAAGTATTCATGCTAAACGGAACGGAAGTTGGCCAATTAACCAGAGCAAATCTGTTTGCGTGGACATTCCCGAAGAGCTTCTCTCCAGACAAGCTTGTCTATCACATCAAAGAGCCTCCACAGTATGGAATACTTTCAAGAAAAATTGGAAAGAAAAGCCGTCGTATAGGAGTATCTTCCAATTTCACACAGCAAGTAAGTTTTATTTTTGTTCATTATCGACTAACCAAATGGCATAAAGGATATCGACAACGGTCTGATCCAGTACAAACTGCATTTCATGCATTTCTCCATCGTGAACGACTTTTTCCTTTTCCAAGTCGTTTCACCGTCTGTCTCATCGGAAACACAACATTTTGAAGTTTTTTTTCCAAACTGTTCTGATTTAAAGAATCCATTTTTAAGATAATATTTGTTCCTTCACCTTCGTCCATACAGTTGATCAATCGAACAGTAGTTTTAGAGGAAGGTTCCTCAGTTACAGTTAAGTGTATCTATTGTAATAGTTTATAACAATAGTATTATCATAGGTGACATCGGAATCTTTATCTCTTTCAACATCTGATGATAAACATTTCATTTTTACAATCAGTATACCGCCTAGTCATGGACAATTTCAAATAAAAGTATGTTTTTGATGTTTAAAACCGAAACTTTACAAATATTCTTTTCAGATATCAGATGGGTTCAAACCACTCGGTCATTTATCTAATTTTACTACAAAAGATATAACGGAAGAAAGGTGTCATTGAAATACTTATGAGTTATAATATCATATACTTAAGATTATATTATTTTCATTCTGGAGATGAATCTCGAAATGATAGGGTTTACTTAACAGCTGAATCTACATTCAGTCGTGGAAGGAAGATACCGTTATGGATGACTTTCAGTGTCATCTTACTTAATGATAATCCACCTCGTCTGATAGGATCTCATGTTATACAGGTTATATTTAATCACGTATCCTCTTCCTCAATAGTTCATGTAGATGGTCGAGCGTGGTGAACGGATATTATATCCTTATCTCTTGAATTGGAAAGATGAAGATGTCGATGCTGCTTCGTTGAAGTTCGACTTCACACAGCCAATCAAAGTAATTTTAATAGCATGTAGTTCATAACATAAAGTCTATTTAGGATGTTGCTGTTTTGTCCACAGTTTCTCCATACCTTCCAATGACGCAGTTTACCGAGAATGACTTGAAAGAAGGCAAGATAATGGTTCGCCATTTAGGACATAAAACAAACTTTTCCATCACGTTAGTATATTCTAATTTCCGTATGAGTACAACTTCTTTCAGTTATACTGTTACTGATGGGGAGCATAACGTTCGAGCGGAAATGCGTATTGAGGCGAGCGAGCCTTTCGTTAGACTAGCAGATGCTTTCATTCAATACTGCTGTCTTCCTGGCGATGAAGTTCAAATAGGTAGTCGCTTGACGAACATAGCTGTCGTACACAGTCAATCATAGATTTAACAACTGGGAACTTGTCTGTCAGTACAAATCTTGATGTGAGGCCTGAAAATATTCTGTTTCTCACGAAAGGCAGTGGTTTTCTTCTACGCAATATAAAGCATACAGATATGTGGAAACCAGTGAATAACTTCACTCAGCAGGTACAGTATCGAGAAATGTTTTCCTGATCACTCTTCGATCTTAAGGATATTGTTAGTGGACTTGTCGCCTACAAGGTTCATGGCAAAAGTGAAGAAGATATCACTGTGAGAGTGGCAGACAGAGAGATAACTACTAGAGTAAGATAATTCATCAATTGTTTACAATATATTTCATTTGAAGGTTGAAATCACGAGACGGTCTTTGGGTTCAACTCTTGAACTCCGTAAGAGTCAACCATTGCAACTCTCTGTTGGTGGAGCTGTGGTAATTGACAAAACCAAACTGGAACAGGTAGTTGATCTAGCTCAAGTTAATCCGTACTTCGGCTCGTCTTCAGGTGGACGGTGCCACACTGGCAGACTCTCTATGGTACATCATAACCAAACAACCGCAAGAAGGTTCATTGGTTCTAGAGAAAGGTTTAAATTCAGTGATTTTACTTGCCTCACTATTTCATTTCAGAAAATAGCACTTCTATACAATTATCTGTTATTCGGTTTTCACAAGTGGACATCGATTTAGGAAGATTACAGTATGTACACGCGGCTACAGGCTCTGGAAGAGACTCATTTGAATTTAATATATCTTCTCCCCATGTTACCAAAGGACCCTACACAATATATATGGACATCTACGACCACTTTGTGAGTTTTATAATTTTTGATCAATTTGATTTTTATTTCCTAATCAGGTTAATCTGAAAACTCAAGATTTGAATGTTTTCTCTGGAAGCTCTTCAATCATTACTACTCAGATTCTTAATGTTTCATCGTCCGATCGAGATGATTATTCTTTGAAAGTGAGTGCATGGGTGTTGCTCACATGTTTACATTCGAATTCATAGATTACGAAACAGCCACTGTATGGATGGATTGTAAGAGATTCGTGGAATGTTGACAACATTTCCTCAATCGGTTAATCATACAGATTAATCATAAAATTTCATTATGTTTATTGGTTTCAGAGTCGTTTTCAGGGAGTGATTTGAGAGAACGACGTGTTGTATATGTATCAGATAGAAGTCAGCTAGCCACAAGGGATGAATTCAAAGTGATAGCATGCATTTCACAAGAAACTTGCACAAACGAAATGACGATTGATGTCATCTTAGCCAAAAGAAATATACAAAGTAACTAAAAGCATGTATGTTTATCAAAACATTCCATATTCCCAGGTCCTCAGTTGCTGAGAAACGAGATACTTCGTGTGAACGGAGATAAAGCTCTTATAACCAATATGCATTTGGATACAGAAGTGAGATCGAAGCTATTTATAACTCTTTGTATCATATCCTTATAGGACCCTGATACACAATCAGAAAGTGTTTTCTTTTTAATTTCAAAGCCCTCCAATGGAATCATTGCTAATGTTAACGAACTAGAAAGACCCATATACAACTTCTCTCAAAAGCATGTTGATGATAACCTGATAGCGTATATTCGTTTTTCAAGTATGCAGTAGGAAAATACCAGCATTTTTTAAAATTTTTCGTTCAGATTCATCCAATTCTGGAGGATTCTCATTTCTTTTGTCAGATGGTGTTCATCAAATTGGTCCAGAATGGTTTTCGATAGAAAGCTGGGCAACTACTTCACCAGTACTCGAAACTAATTCAAGACTCATAGCCGCTCCACAAAGTTCGGCAGTGATTGGTGTAGATCTATTGAGAGCCAATCTTCCAAATGTAACTGATCAAACACTGTTCTTAGAGAATTCAATATTATAGACACATCCTAACGAAGTACTTTTCTCTATCATCAAACCGCCCAAGCACGGTAAAATCGAGATGGATGGGAGAGAGATAACGAAATTCAGTCAAAACGACGTATGCTATGACTTTAAACACTTGAAACTGATACGTTTTCAGATCAACAAAAGAACAGTTCAATATTCGAATAAAGAACTGTCCCAGAAAGATTGGACACGGAAAGACGCGTTTAGTTTTGTTGTTTCTCGGAATGGATCTGGGAGGCCAATAGAGCATGAATTCCGGTAAATCTTTTGTTAGGATGTTGGATGCTTATATTTCTTATCAGCTTTCGAATTTCATCAACTTATGCAGCTGTGAATGATGATTTGTCTCGTTTCGTCACAGTGAAAGCTATAACATTATCTAAAGGAGGCTCAATAGCTTTAAATAGTAGTCATCTGAATCTAGATGAACTTGTTACTGCTTTAGAAAATGAGGTTAACAGTTTTTCTTCTTACGTTCATTGATGTTAATCTTATGCAGTCATTGGTTATCGAGGTTGGGAAGAAGCCTAGGTTTGGATCTTTCGAATGGCTGGATGGGTCTAGAGGAGTTGTGTCAGTAGATGACTTCAAGAATGGACTCGAGGCTGTTTATAGAAACCATGTAGGCTTTCTCATTTTTTTCTGTCAATTGCCTAATCTATAGGGAGAGGACACTGGGGATGATTCAGTAATGTTGTATGTATATCCTGTGAGTGAGTCTACAAAGCGAAGTAGTCGACTTCGAATCACTGTTCCCATACATATCCAGAGTCATCGAGACCCTCTCGTGCAGGTATGATCGTGTTTTAATCGGATTCTTTCATATCAATTTTAAGGTTCTGCATTTCAATTCTGTTGTTTCTGTGTTGAGCTCAGGTTCCACTGAGCTCACAAGGGAAGCATATCTTGCTGCTCATCCTCATGTACCCCCGCAGTCGATTGTTTATGAGGTAGACCGTTATGAGAATTGAATCGAATAACAAAGTTAAACGACAGATCATACAGTCGGGGATAAATGGAGCTGAAATTAAAGTTGAAGGAAAGCGTAAAAAATTTTTCAGTCAAGAAGAGGTTGCGATAAGGTTTCATTAACTAAAAGAATTTTGATTTAAGATCAATCAAGGCTTAGTGTCTGTTGTACATATACCTGTGTTTAGCAGTATTTCATCCACGGACATAATAGTTCTTTCCGTAGAAGGACATTCGAGAGCTCTGATAGTCAAAATAAGACCATTAGATTTGACTCTGGAAAATCATACCACGATCGAGTATCCGCAGGGCAAAACTTATGTTGTACTAAACAGGTATAGTAGTTAACTGCATATTCATTCACATAGTGTTATAGATCTCATTTGGGAGCATACACTAACGGAGATCGAAGTCGAATAACTTATAAAATCACTTCGGGACCTGAAAATGGGACGTTTTATTGGGTGGCAGGAGAGAAAGAAGTGAAAACTTTCACACAAGCTGATATTGATGATGGACGCGTGCTGTACGCTCAATTGAACATGCACTCTTATCAGGTATACAAGCTCATCCATATTATACAGTTTTTGTGATTATTAGGATGCGTTCCAATTTGTTATGGCTAATGCTGACAAAGATATGTTAAAGAATATTTCGATTATCAGAGTGAGACTTTAAAGAATGTTACATTTGAAACTTTTTTTTTATGAAGGTACGATCATTAGTTGAAGTTCAGCCTGTCATAGTGGAATCCAATAGTCTGACACCCTTAACTTCAAGTCAACTCAACGCTAGTCTACTCCAGGTGAGATCGAATCAAAGATTCAAATCCAAATCGTGCATTTGAAGGGATCCACTCCGCGCTTCCTTCTGGTTAATCCTCCTGTATACGGGAAAATAACTTTGGACCCGTCATCTGACCACTCGGCTTTATTCTTCACTTATCCCGATATCACCAGGGGAAGAGTCTATTACCAAGCTTTCCATACCACAAAAGAAGTTCTGTTTTATACTAATTCTTTTTTCATCACAACATTTGTAGATCGTTGAGCATTTGGAGCTTGAGGTACGCGCAGATATTGTGCAGCCTGCTCGAATTGTTTTGACAATAACGATCGTTCCCTCTATGGACTCAGAAAATGATTCTGAAGAAAGTGATAAAGAAGCACAGAAAAATTCGAAGGAAACACCAAAAAGCCAAGATGTTCCTCGTCTTGTTCCGATAGGAGATCAGATTCCCGTTCTAGTTTTGATAATGATAATGCTCACTACAGTTCTTCTGGTAATCTGTTTGAATAGAAAGAAAAAGCCCAAAGAGGTCTGTTAATCTTAAATACATTATTCAGAGATTATATTCTAGGTTCCACCCCAACTAACACCGCCGCGGTTACCACCTACACCGAGCGGTTCAATTTCTCAAGAGAAGCCTGATCTTTTAGGTGAGCTATCCTTGAGTCCTTCTCTTGAAATTCAAACAATGTGTAATGCTCGTATAAGCAAAACAGAACTTTTCGCGTACCTTTCATGAGCCCTAAATGTCGATTCATTGTTTTTCTGACGGCTCAGAATGGTTGCATTTTTTCCAAACGCTCAGAATGGTTGCTGTCTTACCTAAGGGTAGCATTTTTGGCCGTCGTTACGAAATGTCACGTTTATAACGAACACTCAATGTACTGAATGCTGATAAACACAATTTCTAGGGTCAACAGTATTTGCCACAGTAGGAGCAGCCCGTGGTGACAATGCTGCTCGACCTCCCATGAAAAGTTTCGAACGTGGATCAGCAGCAACACCTGTTTCTCATACTCCCTCCATGAAGAGACGCCATCAGCCAACACTTGATTATGCGGGTTTGATTAATGATACACCACCGGTTATGCCGCTATTTAAACAGATTTCCGCTCAAAAGCCGTCTGATAGCCAGTACTGGGTTTAGTTCGGATTAAGGAAAATCCAACTGGGGTGTGCTTCATGTATCCCAGTCTTAAATTATCAAGTTGAAATACACGGTACTGGTAGATCAATCAGGTTTTTTAGTGAAATCCCTTCAATGTAGTTTAACTTCAGTAATTTTCTAACTTATCAGTCTTTGTTATTTTGTTCACTTTGCCTGTTCTATGCATCGATCATTCCTTCTTTCCAGATAGTTTTACTGAATAATAA